CCAGCCACAGATTCAGCAGTAGTGACCACAAACTGGTCATTCCTTGGAGGGGGAGTGCTGTACCAGCACGTAGGGAAGAGATAAACAGTGGGAATGTGGTGAATTGAGATGAGCTTTTGGATAAGCTGTGACCATGGCTACAAGGGCTATGTTATTGTCAGTCATATGGATGGATTTTTCACTCCTGGGTTTTTGTCAAGCATGAAGAAAGCAGACAGCCATTGTAGTTCCGGTATGGTTTTGCAAGTTTTTTTTCTTTAATTAGCTCACCTGTTAGCCAATAGTGCTAGTCTACCTTAGTAGCACACATCCTCTTACCAGTCAGAAGGACCATCCCCAGCTGGGCAGAGCTGCATGGGAACAGATGAGGCAAGAGCCAGGCACTGGCCTGGGTGTCAGCAGCCAAGGACTGAAGCTGCAGTCTCAAAGCTAATGTTCTGCTTCACATGAGCATTAGCTCCGTGGTTGTGTGGGGCCAGAGAGACCTGCTGCTGTGCTCTGTTCAAAAGACCCTATATCCCCACCCCATCTTGCTGCTGTAGAGCAACAACAAACAGGATTCCTCAGATAAGAAGCAAAGAGGCTTTCCTGGTCTTTCCAGGTGGCAGAGAAGAACCTCGGTGCAGTCAGGAGACTAATGCTGTCTGCGATAAGATAAAATCGGTACCTTGAGCTAAGCAATGTCAGTTAGAAGAGGTTCTGAGGCAAGTCCTTCCTGTAAGGATATGAAGATTGCGCCCCTGCTGCCTGGACACTCACTGATGCAACGTAGTTAGATTTTCTGATCATTTCCTCCATGGGTAACTTGGGATAGTAAGCCAGGTAGAAGGCCAGTGCTCCCACAAAACTGTCTCCAGCTCCCTGGAATAAAATAACAAGTTTTAGTAACCTCAGAGAGGGAAACAGTTCAGACACATTTACTGGAAAGACAAAAAGTTGCAGCACGGGTTGCAGGAGCCAGGAAATGGTTCGGGGGTTGAGTTCTATTCACTTTTCTATGCCCAGGAAATTCCGCTCTGTTAAACTATCAATACACTATGCTATCCAAACCATGATACTATCTTTGTGCCCAGCTGTCGAGTCAAGGTACACACTATAATATGGTGAAAACAAAGAAAAAGTAAAGCAAGTGTGCTACAGTTCAGCAACGTGCTGTTCTAAACACTGCTTTTGAAACTTCCTATTGTTGGAGTGTCCAATTTTGATTTCTCAACCTGAATGTTTCATTAAAGTTATTTTTCTTTCCTTTAACTTCTGTTTTTCATAAAGGTCAGTGGTAGAAGGGACAGAGAAAAGGAGAAAAAAAAGAAGCCACGTGGCTTGTGGCATCTGTAAATTCCTAGTTGAAGAAAGATACATTTGGATGTCTCCAGAACTTGGCTGTTGCTCATTAAAAAGGTCCCACTCACGAAGGTCTGTGTTGTGTCACACTCTTATTCCTGGGGCAAGCTTTGGCACCTGTGATGATTTGCCATAGGGGTGGAGGACAGTGAGGTTCTCCTGGGGCTCTGGCAGCTATGGCCCTCTCCAGCTATCCATCCCTGGGCCATGCCTCCCAGGAGAGCTGTCCCATGCTCTGCCTGCCCCACATTAGCCCAGGGCGAACAGGGAAGACACCATGCCCCGGCTTGCTCTGAGGTACCACTAGTGCTGCTCTGATCAGCAGAGAATGACAACTATCTGCCTCCCAAGTGCTTTTGAACAATAACCGTTGATTTGTGATGTTGACTGCTCTGCAGTGTCCTCAACAACTGGTAAAATTAATCATTTTTAACTTGATTTGCTCATTTCATACTACAGGGTGCTTTCCTCCTTCCCTAAAACTGCCTTGATTTCTAAGGCCAGGTTAGTAGCAACTCTTGTTGATACCATAAAACTGGTTCTAAGATCCCCTTTTTTAAATCATACTTTATGTCAGGAAAAGCATTACACTGGACACACTGGTAATATCTTCTGCATTCAAAAACCAGCATATGGACTATCTCCCCTGAGGGTCTTTGCCTCTGGAGTTGTAATAAATAGGCCCCAAGAGTCATGGGACAAGAGCAAAGGGCCTGGAAAAAGTTAGTTAAGATAGCTGAGCAAAGTTTCTAACTGGAAGTTAAGGTTAGGAAGTAATTTTCCAATTTTGAGTTCTAGTGGTTCTCAGCGTTAAACTCCTACTTACCCTAAAAAGACCTGCATGTAAGGTCATTCCAGCTAAATCCCCACCACTTCCACAGAAATCTGTCCATAACGTTACAAGCAGCTGACAGGCAGAGCAGTGTGGCAATGCAAGGGGACCCTATAGGGGTAAGCACAAGATACAGGCGCCCACACTGTGCCTTGGCTCCCTTTGTCCAGCCCTTCCACAGCAGCTGTTTGCATTGACGTTCCCAGGTGGGAAACTCCCTGCTTAACTCTCACTTAGCCCAACGTTTGGATGCTGCCTCTTACCACCTTCCCACTTGGATACGATGGAGAGCCGCATCTGGCAAGTTGGAAGTTAACAGGGAAGCTGTACCCCAGCAGGCAGCACCTGTTTCAACAGTTCTGTATTCCTGAACATACCAAGGGCAATTGAAGGATTTTATCAACTTCTGCTGGGCCTTTGTCTCTCCCCTAGTTTCCAGAGTGCTCCCACAAAGGCAGGCGGAGCAGCAGCCGGTGACAGCTAGTTAAGCATTGCCAGTGCCTTTTGTCTGATGCATAATACAAGAATCCTTGGCCCATCTCATGAGTTTATAATCTAATCGGTGCATGATTAATTATTAAAGCTATTTTGGTGCTGCTGTTACAGACAAGTAGAATTTCAGATCTGTTATGCTGTAGCTCTACCAGGAAGAACTCATTTTTACATCAAATATTTCTCATACCGTGATCACTGGGTAATGGAAGTGGCCAAATACTATTTTCATGAGGAATACTCAGAATATCAGGTGTCAGATAGCATAAACTATTACTCACAAGCAGCATGGAGCAAAATACTGTCTTTTTAAACTTTTTTTTTAAATGGAGGTAACTAAACACTGCCTCAAATATTTGCTTCACTGTTTGCTACTGGAGCAAGAAAAAACTAACCACACACCTCCCAGGTCTTAGTGTGGATCATGGCGAGATAGAACTTAAGTGATTCTCCCTGCAGTGTTACTGTGCCTTCCCACTTGTGGGTGGTGCACTGAAGTTGTGCGACAGTTGTAGATGTCCCTTTTGCAGAGGCTGGACAACATTCCGGGACTACAAAGGTGGAAAAGGGGAGAACAGCAGACCTCCATGCAGAATGGATAAAGGCCCCCTAGATTTTTTTTTTTTTTGCAAGAGAAAGAATTATGGAATGATTGGGAGAATATATAGGATTTGATGCCAGTAAACTTTTGCTGAAATCCTTATTTCCCATACACACACCGAACGAGTCAGTTGCTCTAAAGCTCAGCTACTACAGACCCCAAGGGTATCATAAATTCAGTTGCTGGCCAGTAAATATTTTGTATGTGGGGCGTTTTCAATACAGGAGCTACTACACTGCAAAGAGTGCATGCATCAGGCTGATGACGCAGATACCCTGTTCAACCTTGCTTCTGGTCCATGCAGATGTGACTGGCCAAACATGCCTTAAAAAGCAATAACAGAACTGATTCAGCTGCAAAGTTAACTGCAGTAAGAACTATTTCCAGCTTACAGAAACAGACCTTCCCTCTGTGGTATTGTGGATTAAACTATGTTGGGTTTGGTAGATTCAGAAAAAGCCAGCGCAGAGCAGAAGGAACAGGCTCAGAGTAAAATCAAGATCATCCAAACTCTGGATTAGCAAATACCGGTTTTACATTTAGCTGTTTCCAAACCTTCCATAAGGAAAAAACCCACAACAACAAACAACTCCTTTGTAAAAATAATGAATTATGAAAATGACCAGTAAGGTGCATTTATTCTGCCCACTGACAAAATATAAACACAGGATATGTAATATTTTACATTCTTCAGCATTTGTCTTCCAGGAATTCGAAATACATTGCAGATTTTGAGATAACCCTCATCTCCTTGAGTGCCTGGAGACAATTCATTCCATAATTATAAAAATATGACTTGTTTAACCTTTCTCTAAAGCAGGAGATGCTCGTTTGTATGAAATAGAAAACTGGATCCAAAAAAAATGGCCTGATATGGTGTGGCTTGTTCTATAATGCAAATGTTACGGTTTTGACTAAGATTTATGGTTTCAAAGCAGTTTTGAAAACCTATTTCTGTTCTGTGTCACTAGTCTGGAAGGTCCTTGTTTTCCTGTTTGTCTGGAAAAGGGCATTTTTGTTTGTTACAGTCCAGCACTGGCTGAGATTCTGTGCCTCTAGAGAAGAGAAAACCCACGAAAACACTTCTATTTATACCTTATCTTTTGTTAGTCCTGATTTGTCAGAAGCTGGTTCACAACTTTAGTAGAACTATTTTTATATGATGCTGCCCTGAGAAGCTTTTTAAGGAAAGTGCTTTGTAAGTGGAAACTATATTGTTCAACAGACTTTCCAGCAATGAAAGCATTTTTCAATCAATCATGTGCAGAATAATAGGATGCATTTCACTTATACAATAAGATGTCTTGTTCACCAGAAAAATTGGAGGCCATGAGGCCAAAAGCTACAGTTCACAGTGTTGCGGCTGTCTCGTTTCAGGGCAGCCTCTCGCTCAGGCTTCTCCCTCCCTGCTTGTCCTCTTGGGCAAGATTGATGGCAACCACACAAGAACAGGAGGGGGCTCTGGCTCCTCATGTTACTGAACCACAGAAACCCCTCCTCATCTGATTTTTCAAGAAGTCACAGGCATAGATTCCCAGGATTATTGCACGGTTTGGGTTGGAGGGGACCTTAAAGCTCATCCAGTTCCAACCCCCTGCTACAGGCATGGACACCTTCTACTAGACCAGGTTGCTTCAAGCCCCTGTGTCCAACCTGGCCTTGAACACTGCCAGGGATGGGGCAGCCACAGCTTCTCTGGGCACCCTGTGCCAGCACCTCACCACCCTCACAGGGAAGAACTTCTTAATACCTATTCTAAATCTATCTTCTTTCAGTTTAAAGCCACTCCCTATGTGCATTCTGTGCATTACATGGATTCACTCCATTAAATACATTGTAAAAGCATGTTCCCAAGGAATGATGTGTTGTATAGTAGTACAAGAGAAACATTAGGCATGCCTGTAATGATAACTGCTTCATCTAGTGAATAAATCAAAATATCAATCCAAAAGCTGTCAAAAACTGAATTATAATGTAGAATCAACGATATCGCCTGCAATGATGCTTCTAGTCTCATAGGAGCACTCACAGCAGTGCACAAATGAACGAAGCCTGAGGATTACACTGATTTAGTGCAGTCTAAATGCATGGCAAGACAGAGATGCCCAACTTTGCTGAAGGAATTGGGCCTTGGAGAATTCCTGTCGTATTTATAGCACTCCACAACCATGTGATACTGGATTATGCTAAGAATGTTATCACTTTGTGTCACATCTGCTCAACATTCCTTGCTGTTCTCTTGCCTACTCTGTACCCGAACTACAAATTAGCCCCACATAACACAAAAATAGCTGCCAGTGAAGATGCTCACTATCCATTCCTTGTAAGTGAGGAAAGCCTATGTCTCCCTACAACAATCCCCGGGTTGTGCTTTGATGAAACGTTACTAATAGAATTGGAGAAACATTTCCAGCCCTCGGGACATACTTGGACGCTCTTGTGCCAAGAGGCTCCATGTCTCAGATAAGAGACAATTTCAGCTGAAATACTCAGGAAGTAAAGTACCTCTTGGTAACTGTGTGGTGGGTTGACCCTGGTTGGGTGCCAGGTGCCCACCAAAGCTGCTCTATCACTGCCCTCCTCAGCTGGAAGAGA